GGGGTGGGGGGTGGGTTTGGACCTACCTGCACAGGTGTGGGGATTGTCGGCCCATGGGTGTGGCATTGCAATGTGCAAGTCTGGCTTGTCTTCAGCCGAGGGTTTGTGAAAGACGCCCACAACATGTATCCGTGTTGCTCCCTGGAAGGGAGAGGGGTTTGTGGAGGTGGAGGAGGAGGAGGAGGAGGAGGAGGAGGAGAATAACTGTGGGGTCCTTGATGCTTTCTGAGCTTGGTGGCTTTTCTTGCAGACGTTTCATGACCCAACTAGGGAACATCATCAGTGCTGGAAGGGAATGGGGTTTGCAGAGAGGAGGAGGAGGAGGAGGAGGAGGAGGACGTGAATGACTGTGGGGTCCTTGATGCTTTCTGAGCTTGGTGGCTTTTCTTGCAGACGTCTCATGACCCAGCTAGGTAGCATCATCAGGGGTGCTGGAATTTGTGAAGTGGGATTTGCCTTTGGCATCTGAATCCAAGTTTGGTGGGAAACATCAGGTCCGTGGCTGGTGAGGGCCACCTGGGAGAGGTTTCCAGGTGGACGATAAGTCTGGGGATGATGGGGTTCTGGAGTCCGAGGGTCTTGGCAGTGGGTGTGGTCTAGTTAAAGACTTGCAGAGGGTTGAGGGCTGAGCTTTTCTCAAAAGGCGGTTTGGCTGCCTCTAAGTGCTTCCTTTTGTCTAACATCACCGGGTTGGCTTGGAGATTGTGAAATTTGGTTGGCAGGTTTATGGGCCATCAGGCAGGGTTCAACTCTAAGTGACCCCGTGGGTAGATTTGGGGTTTGGCAGAAGCTGCCTCGCCTCTGTGTCCATCCTCATCTCAGGATTCAGAAGCTGGAGTCATGTGGTTTACTTAACAACCTCAGGGATTCGCTTAACAACCATGGTGAAAAATGATTGTAAAAATCTGCTCAATCGCAAGGGTTGTGTTCCTATTCTGGCCATAAACCGAGGATTATCACGAAAGGAAGCCCAGGTTAGGGCTAGGGTTAAGCCATAGGGGACCTGTGAAATCTTGAACTCAGAACTTTTACAGATGGGATTTTTTTAAGTATAGGGTTGGTGTGGGGGACCTTTATGCATGTCCTTGAACCCACTGCCTTTAAAGGATCAGCTTCTGGATAGCAGTGATGCAAGAACTGTTTTGAATGTTGACACCAAGAAGGAAGAAACAATGTGTGTTGTTGAATTGTGCAGCCAAAGAGGCACATTGTGAAGAGACCCTTGCAAACTTCAAGAAAAATAAATGCAGGAAGACGCAATTGCTGGTTGAAGCTTTTTTTTTTCCCTCAAATTGGAGCATTTTAAGGGGTGGACTCCAACTCCCAGAATCCCCCAGCCAGCAAGGTTTAAGAGGGGTGGACTCCAACTCCCAGAATCCCCCAGCCAGCAAGGTTTAAGAGGGGAGAACTCCAACTCCCAGAATCCCCCAGCTGGCATGCTTTAAGAGGGGAGAACTCCAACTCCCAGGATCCCCCAGCTGGGATGCTTTAAGAGGGGACTACTCCAACTCCCAGAATCCCCCAGCCAGCATGCTTTAAGAGGGGAGGACTTCCACTCCCAGAATCCCCCAGCCATCATCCTTTAAGAAGGGTGCACTACAACTCCCAGAATCCCCCAGCCAGAGTGCTTTAAGAGGGGTGGGTTTAAGAATCCCCCAGAATTCCTCAGGCAGACAGGCTGGTTGGGGAATTTTGGGAGTTGAAGTCCACCCATCTTAAAAATGCTCCACTTTCTTTCTTTCTTTTTTAAACCCACTAATTTAAACCTGCTGCCAATCACGCAAAGGAAGATTTCGGGAGACATTTAAACATCAGAAATTTTTCAGGGTTACAAATTCCAATTTCTCACATCTGGGTCAAAGAGCTGTTGTGTCACCCTTTCACAATCTGTTGCTTCAGCCTTCCTGCCTGTCATCATCGCTTTTGGAAAGTCCTGGCGAAACCCATTTTTTGTTGGGAGTCCAAACTGTTTGCTTGGGTGCTCAGCCTTATTTTTGACTTCCAAAGCTGTCGCTAAGTGAGACAGTTGTTAAATGAGTTTTGCCCCCTTGGACAACCTTCCTGGTCACCATCGTTAAGCGAATCCCTGCAGTTATCAAATTAGTCACATGGTTGTTAAGTGAATCTGGGCTTTGATTTGGCTTGTCAGAAGGTCGCAAAAGGGGATTGTGTGACCCTGAGAGACTGCGACCGTCATAAATATGAGTCAGTTGCCAAGCGTCTGAATTTTCATCACATGACCATTGAAATGCAATGGTTATAAGTGTGAAAATGGTCATAAGTCCCTTTTCTCCACGCTATCGTAAATGCATGCCGGCTGTCAAGCCCCTGAATCACAACCTCATAACGGCGGGGACTCTTGAAAGGGTCATCAATACGAGAACCGTGTCTAAGTCCCTTTTTTCAGCACTATCGTAACGCCAGTCACTAAACAAGTGGTCGTAAGTTGAGGACTGCTTGTAATCTCATTCCCTGGGGTCTCTTGGGATGCCTTTTAACTTTGTTGTTGGCTCTGTAGAATTGCTGAATTTGCAAGCTGAGCCCTCTGCAAATGGACGAAATCAATAAATCGTCTTGAAATTCTACCAATTCTGCTAAAAGAGAATTTGGCCTCCAGCCCAATCCTTAGCTATAACCTGCCTCCTAATTCTAACCTATTTATTTCTTCTTGCCACTAACAACTACCTTCAAGGGGTGCCTATTTTGCTTAGGGACCCCTGCATGCTTCTTACACAATTCGTTTGTTTGTATCCCAACTTTTTATTTTTACAAATAACTCAACGAGGCAAATATATCCCACACAATTTCCTCGTCTTATTTCCACCCCAGCAACAACTGTGTGAGGTAGGTTGGGCTGAGGCAGATGACGCGGTCCAAAGTCACCTAGCTGGCTTTCATGGATAAGACGGGACTAGAACTCTCCGTCTCCTGGTGACTGGACCAAAGCCACCCGGTCAGCTTTCACGCTTAAGGCAGAACTAGAACTCACTGTCTCCTGTTTTCTAGCCTGGTGCCTTAACCACTAAACCTGTCTGGCTCTCTTTTGCAATTCCGGCTCGATGCCTGGGCGTCTATAAATGGTTTTAATCGTTTTAAAACATTTTAATAGCGTAAACCTCCCATGATCTCCCTCTGTAAACAGAAGTCAGGACTCCGGGCTGCGTTTATTATCCTTATCTCGTGTTTGGATTTTAGCTGTAAATCGAAAGCTGAAAGCGTGTCTATCTCCAACAAGGTACAGCGCTGTACCAGCCCTCCTACGATCTTGTGCTGGCCAACAAAGATTAGCCACCTGGTTTCTCTCCTGTTTTCAGCACACGCTGGGCGCAGGGGACACCTCAAGGTCATCCGTCCCCCGACCACCTCATTAGGGATAGGACAATGTGTCAGAGCAGCCGTGGGGACCCCCAATTTCTCCACCCACTCTGCATTTCCTAATTGTTTGCATCTGGAGGCTGGAAGAGAACGCAAACTTTTAAAAAAGGAGGAGGAATTGGGTGGTCCCCTGCAGCTGCGTTGTCCAATCTCTAATTTTAAATGTTGGGATACGTTCGCTTTTCAATATCCAGGGTCTCTTCATACACCAGGTTGCAGAACTAGTGTTTGCAGTTTTCTTTACTTTTCTGAATTAGGTTTATTGTATAATTGAAAATAAAGATAGGAGGGAAAGAAAGGAGAAGCCTGAGATTTGAATGTTAATATTTATGTTCTTAATATTTTAAAGTTTGACCTTGCTGGTTTTTTTTTTTTAACTTAGTGGTAAGCCGCCAAAGTGAGAAAGAAACACAGGTAGTCCTCAACTTATGACCACAATTGAGCCCAACTTTTCTGTTGCTAAACGAGATATTTGTTAAGTGAGTTTTGTCCTATATTATAACCTTTCTTTCTCCAGTCTTACTTACTGCAGTTGTTAAGTAAGTAACACGGTTGTTAAGCAAATCTGGCTTCCCCATTGATTTTGTTTGTCAGAAGTCCGTAAGTCGAGGACTACATGTAAAGGAAAAATTGATTTCTCAACTTTTTTCAGCGCTGCAAAACATAAAGTCAAACCACAGCCTTGAATTTTAACTTTTGCATGCAGGTAGATATTAACTCTTCCTGTTATAAACAAACTAATCTCATCAGCAAAAGCCAAGGACAAAACTTCCTTCCTTTCTTTTTTATTTTTTTTTTCTGTCTTGAGCACAAAGTCCAGAAACGGTTTTCTAGTAAAAGCAAAACTCATTGTGTTGTTGCAGACTCACAACAGATCTTTGACCGTGAAGGCAAAGATGTGAAATTTTGTGCTTTGATGTGAGAATTTTAGTTCAGGTGTGTTGTGCAAAAAAATAATAATGTGGTGCTTGCTAACAGCTTTTCCCATAAACGGGTGTTATCTTTGCTGAGTGAGGTTCACACAATTGGGAGGCGTCTGCTAGCACTTTTTTCCAACCCACAACTTTCACAAAAAGGCGTCAGCTTTTGTGAGTTGCTGTTACTGCATCAGAGGCATAAAGTATGTTTAAAACAGATTCTACCAATAGATGAGAATATTTTTAGCTCAGGATTGAACCGTAGAATCCTTGGTGCTCTCTGAGCTGGGTGGTTTTCTCGTAGACGTTTCATGACCCATTTAGGGAACATCATCAGGGTTAGGAGGGAGGGGTGTTTGCGGGGAAGAGGCAGGGGGGAGGAGGGGGAGGAAGGGAGGGAGGGAAGGACTGTGGGGTCCTTGGTGCCCTCTGGGCTGCGTGGTTTTCTTGCAGACGTTTCACGACCCAAGTAGGTAACATCATCAGTGCTGGAAGGGAGGGAGGCTGACATTTTTAACAGGGATGATGCTACTGAGGAAGAGACTTGAGGTGGAGGAAAATTCGAAGGGACCCCTTGAGATCATCCTTTGGTTCCAATCACCTTCACAAGGATCCCAAACGGCCCTGAGCCTAGAAGTGTGAAAAGGGCTTTTCCCCACTTCCTGCTTCTAACTTCTATTTTATTGTTTTTCTTCTTTTCTTCTCCAGAAAGACTTGTCGTACCTCCAGCAGTGGTTGGAAGCTTTTGTGGCCAATTTTGAGAAGATCATTGCCGTCCATTCTCTGGAACCGAGAAGGTAGCTCTCTCTGACCATCCTTAAATGCCAAGGATTTGATTGACACCCATTGAAATAAAAATATAATTAAAACTGTACAGAATAGGCTTCAAGGTACAACCAGAATGGGGCCTGAAATTTCTGGTTGTTAAATGAGCCGCTTCCCACGTGACAGGTAGTCCTTGTCTTACAACTGCCATGGAGACCCAAATTTCCACCGCTGAGCGAGACAGGGTTGGATGACCTTCCTTGCCATCCTTGTGAAGCGAAGCACTGCAGTCATTAAGTTATTTTGCATGGTCATTAAGCGAATCGGGCTTCCCCATACACTTGGCTTGGCAGATGGTCCCAAAAGGGGATCATGTGACCCCAGGGACGCTGCAGCCGTCATAAATACGAGTCAGTTGCCAAGTGCTGGAATTTTGATCCCACGACCATGGGGACGCTACAGCCGTCATAAATATGAGTCACTTACCCGGCGTTTGAACTTGGATCACGTGACCGTGCGGATTCTGCAATGGTCATAAGTGTGAAAAATGGTTGTAACTCACCTTTTTCAGTGCCATTGGAAGTTCGAACGGTCACTCAACGATCTGTTGTAAAACCGAGGACTGCCTGCAGAGTGACTGGGAGTCAAACTGTCTGTTCAGTGCAGATGTAGCTATTGTTTCGGAGTGCAGTTAAAACCAAGGAGCCGTGAGGCTAGTCCTCATGCAAGGCCCATTTGAGCGAGCCCTTTGAATGGTTCAGCCTGCATATTTTAAGGCATCCTTAGGCAATCTTTAAAAAAAAAACAGTCAGCTGTCGGTTTTTCAGCTATAGGATAGTCCTCGACCTATGACCACAACCGAGCCCAAAATTCCCATGATGTGAAGCAACACGTTTGTTCAGTGCATTTTGCCCTTTTTTACGACCTTCCTTGCCACCGTCGTTAAGTGAATCACTGCAACTGTTAAATTAGTCACATGGTTGTTAAGCGAATCCCGATTCCCTATGCCTTTCGCTCGTTGGAAGGTCGCAAAAGGGGATCGCGGGACTGCAGGACCGTCATAAATACGAGTCGGTTGCCAAGCGTCTGAATTTGGGGACGCCGCAGTGGTCGTAAGTGTGAAAAGTGATTCTTAGTTCCTTTTTGTTTGTGCCATTGTAACTTCGAACATTCACTAAACGAATTATTGTAAGTCAAGGACTGGCTGTATGCTTTTCCCTTTTTTAAAAAATGGCGTTTATCTTCTAAAAACCAATTTCTGGATTTCTCTACGACGGCCACTTTATCTTCTCCCTGTGTGTCTTTTTGTCCTTAATTTTTCTTCACTTTTCTAAATGGGGCGATTTTCCCTTTATCCATAAAGAAACTGGGGCTCAGAGGCCTTAGTAAATCTTGAATTATTTTGTCCTTTCTCCGGCTCTGCTGGGTGCTGTACATAAAGTCCACCTCTCCTCCGAAAACAGAATTGTGTTAGAGACACAGGGAAGAAAATAGCTCTCCCCAAAAGAGCATTTTTCTCTTTTTGATTAAAAAACAGAGAGAGAGAGAAAAATAGGCATAAAATGCCAGGGGGCTGATTGGTGTCTTGCGTTGACGAGACAGGAATCAATCCGCTAGATCAATTTTTTAGGTCAAGATGAAACCTGTGTTTTATAGGTGGTCCTCGAGTTACGGCCACAGTTGAGTCCAAAATTTCCACTGTTAACAAGACAAGTTTTGTTTGTCTCTTTTTTTTTTTAACAATCATTTTTTTTGCCTCAATCCGTGCACTTGTTAAATAAATCGTGTGGTCGTACAAGCAGGTCAGTCACATCACAGAGCTGTTTTTCAAACCATTGACGGCTGTAAGTCAAGGACTTATCAGAAAAACCACAACCGAACCCCAAAAATTTCCTTTTGTTAAACGAGACATTTGTTCAGTGAGGTTTTCCCCCGTTTTACGACCTTTTTGGCCACAGTTGTTAAGTGAATCACTTTAGTTGTTAAAGTAGTAACACAGATATTAAGTGAATCCGGCTTCCCCTATTGACTTGGCTTGTTAGAAGGTCACAAAAGTCGATCACATGACACACACTCACACCCCGGGACACTGCAACTGTCATAAATACGAGTCGGTTGCCAAGTGGGTGAATTTGGATCACGTGACCACAGGGACACTGGTCATAAGTGTGAAAAGAGGTTCTGACCCTAAGTCCCTGTTCTGACCCAAACTTTGTTCCAAGGAAACAACCACCAAACAGAGGTAACAGCAAACCTTTTAATGATTCTTTACGAATTCCGTTCCTACCCTCCAGTTAAAAGGCTGTTTCAAACTAATTGTCTCTGATAAGAATGAACCTTGCCAAGGTTGTGCAAGGCTGCCAAGAACACCAGATAAAATTACTAAGAAGTATTTCAAACACAAAGAGTCTCCAAACACCAACCAAGATACTCCGAACGTCCACCAGGCTTGAGTGCAAAAACGTCTTTGCTTCCTGCAAAGAGCTCCAGATTCTCAGCTGGCTTTTATCTCTTAAGGGAGAAGCCATTACCTTGCAGCCTTACTCCCGAGTCACCCGTGCAGCTACAGCTGCTCTTTCCTATGAGCAACCCTGCACGCACATGCACCTGGCACAGGCTCCTCGGGAACCTCCTCATTGCTGCTGCCAGTTTCCACAAGCACCGAGGCAGCATTCCACTGGCGAACCACAGCAGTCCCTTTTTTTTCAGTGTCATAACTTTGAACAGTCACTAAATGAACTGTTATAAGTCTAGGACTACTTGTACGCCAGGCTGCAAGCCTACAGTGCCTTTTTCCTGTTCTCCTTTCAGGCCCGAAGACTCCATATCCGAAATTCCACTCTTACCTCTGAACGTCTTGCAAGTGTTAACCCAACAGTTGACGTCTTCAGTCTCCCAAATTTCACGCGACGAGGTAGCCGAACCCGGCTTGAAACAAGCTCTCCTGCTCACCAAGTTCTTCATCATTATTTGCAGGTAAATCTTTTTTATTTTTTATTTTTTTTTTAAAAAAAATGAACTGTATTCCCCTCCCCCCCAAATTCAGCTCCGAATAATTCCCACCTTTTCGCAAAACGAAATTAGAGCCCTGGCATCTTTTAGCACCTGCGTATCAAATGTGTTAGGTTGGGTCTGGGTTTGGGTTTTTTTTTAAAGGGGGGGAGGAATGGAAGTTTTTACAAATCACAGTGTATATATATATTTATTATCACGTACTAAAACTCTTAATTTTTCTGCAATGTTCACATTCAGGTAGGCCCGGGTTAGATAAGGGCCAAATAAAATACAGATTTGCTGCATGAAATATAACGTGAACATATATACAGTGTGTGTGTGTGTGTGTGTGTGTGTGTGAGTGTGTGTGTGTATGTATGTGTATGTATGTATGGCATTCAGCTTTGTTCGGGTATTTTCCCACGTCATTATAGTTGTGCTTTTAAAGTTGTAGCAACGTTTCGGCAGAATCTCATCTGCCATCATCAGGCTTCTGTATTACATACATACATACATACATACATACATACATACATACATACATACATATAGTATATATATTGGGAGTCCTTCTGTGTATATTTTGATAAAACCGTGATTGATTACTCTCGGCCCTCCCTCTGGGATATTTGGAATACTTTATTGGCCAAGGGTGATTGGACACACAAGGAATTGGTCTTGGTGCAGATGCTCTCAGTGTACATAGAAAGAAAAGATACGTTCGTCAAGAGTCAGGAATCATAAGGTCCAACACTTAATGATGGTCATAGGGTACAATAAGCAATCAAATCATACAAGGAAACAGTCAATATGAATCGTAAGGATACAAGAGACAAAGTTAGTCCTACAATCACAAGTGGGATGGGTGATAAGGAGTGATGAGAAGATTAACAGTAATAGTCGTGCAGACTTTGTAATAGTTGGACAGTGTTGAGGGAATTATTTGTTTAGCAGAGTAATGGCATTCGGGAAAAACCTCTCCTTGTGTCTAGTTGTTCCAGTGTGCAGGGCTCTATAGCGTCGTTTTGAGGGAAGGAGTTGAAACAGTTTATGCCCGGGATGTGAGGGGTCTGTAAATATTTTCACAGCCCTCTTTATGATTCCTGCAGGATACAGTTATAGAGGTGCAGATGATAGACTCAATAATTCCTCTGTAGAACTGGATCAGCAATTCCTTGGGCAATTTGAGCTTTCTGAGTTGGCACAGAAAGAACATTCTTTGTGGTGCTTTTTTGATGACGTTTTTGATGTTAGGGGTCCATTTTAAGTCACGTGATATAGTAGAACCTAGAAATTTGAAGGTCTTTACTGTTGATGCTGTGTTGTCTAGTATTGTAAGAGGTGGTAGTATGGGAGGATTCCTTCTAAAGTCTACCACCATTTCTACGGTTTTGAGTGTGTTCCATTCCAGATTGTTCTGGTTACACCACGAGGCAAGTTGCATAACCTCCTGTCTGTATGCAGATTCATCGTTGTCTCGAATGAGACCAATCACTGTTGTGTCATCAGCAAACTTCAGTATTTTAACAGATGGATCGTTTGAGATGCGGTCATTGGTATATAGGGAGAAGTGAAGTGGAGATAGCACACAGCCTTGGGGCCCCCCTGTGCTGATTGTACAGGTATCGCAGGTGATTCCGCCTAGTTTCACCTGCTGCTTCCTGTCTGTTAGGAAGCTTATGATCCACTTACAAGTGTGTTCAGGTACTGCTAGTTGGTTTAATTTACTTAGAAGAGTGTCAGGAATGATGGTATTGAATGCTGAACTGAAGTCTACAAAGAGGACCCTTGTATAGGTATTTGGAGATTCAAGGTGTTGTAGGATGTAATGCAGAGCTATGTTAACAGCATCGTCTGTCGATCTATTTGCTCAGTATGCAAACTGCATGGGATCTAACAGCGGATCTGTGATGGTTTTCAGGTGGGACAGCACAAGCCTTTCAAAGATTTTCATAACTACAGATGTTAGAGCAACTGGTCTGTAGTCATTCAGTTCTTTGGTGGAAGATTTCTTCAGCACTGGGATGATGGTAAAACGTTTGAAGCAGGAAGGAACACAGCAGATCTCTAGTGATCTGACTTTTAAGCAAGAAGGAGTTATCTTGTCTGGCCCTGGTGCTTTTCCTGGCTTCTGTCTGTATAATAGATCTTGCACTTCTTTTTCTGGGATCACCAGAGGTTGTGAGCCCAATGGATTGGGGCCAGTTGTAGGAGGCTTGGCTGTTGTTGGTGTGTTTGAGATGTGGGTTGTGGAGATAGGTGGCTGTAGTTTCTTTTCAAACCTGCAGTAAAATACATTCAGGTCATCTGCTAGTTGTTGATTTCCTTCTGCCTGGGAAGGAGGTTTGCTGAAGCCAGTGATGTTTTTAAGAGTTTTCCACATGTTTGCTGGTTTATTTGTTGAGAATTGATTCTTTAACTTTTCAAAGTAGCTTCTTTTTGCTGCTCCGATCTCTTTTTTTAATATGTTTCTGGCCTGGTTGTACAGCATTCTGTCACCTTTTCTGTAGGCTTCCTCTTTAGAACAACGTAGCTGCTTAAGTTTAGCTGTGAACCAAGGTTTATTGTTACTATATATTTGCAGGTTCCTTGTTGATACACATAAGTCTTCGCAGAAGCTAACATATGATGTTATAGTATCTGTGAGCTCATCTAGGTCTGCAGAGGCATCTTCAAAAACATTCCAGTCAGTCCAATCAAGGCAGGCCCTGGAGTTTCAGCTTTGCCTCATCCGACCAAGTCTTCACTGATTTGATTGTTGGATTAATGGTTTTAAGTCTTTGTCTGCAGGCAGGTACAAGGTGAATCATGCAGTGGTCAGAGTGTCCCACAGCTGCTCGTGGTAAAGACCTATAAGCATCTTTTAGTGTTGTGTACCAGTGGTCTAAAGTATTTTTGCCTCTGGTGGGACAATTTACACGCTGGAAATATTTTGGGAGCTCTTTCCTTAAATTTGCTTGATTGAAATCTCCTAAAATGATGGGAAGGTAACCTGGGTGTTTGGCTTCAGCCTCTATAATTTGATCAGCAAGAATTCGTAATGCCTTGTTCACACAGGCTTGTGGAGGAACATACACAACTATTAGGGGAAATGAGGAGAACTCACGTGGAGAGTAAAATGGCTCGCAGTTGATGTGTAAAGACTCTAAGTTTTCATCACAAAACTTATATATTTTAATTATATCCTGAGACCAGCTATTGTTGATATATACACATAATCCTCCACCCTTTGTTTTACCTGATGTCTCTTCAATTCTGTCTGATCTAAAAGACTGAAATCCTGGGTTGTATATGGAGTTGTCCTCATGAATTTGTGGATTAAGCAAAGAGGCATTTTTCCCCCGATTCATGATCAGCTACATAGATAGTCTTCAACTTACGACCACAATGGAGCCTAAGATTTCTGTTGCTAAGTCAGAGACATCCGTTAAGTGGAGTTTCGCCCTGTTTTACAATCTTTCTTGCCCCATTAGGAGTTTGTTTGTCAGAAGGTTCACAAAAGAGGATCACGTGATCTCCCCTGGGACACTGCGACCGTCATAAATACGAGGAAGGGCCAAACTTAATAACAGAGAATAACGGAATTGGAAGGGGCCTTGGAGGTCCTCTAGCCCACCCCACCCCCCCAAGCAGGAGGCGCTCTACCATTTCAGACAAGCGCTTGCCCGGTTTCTTCTTAAAACCTTCATTCTCCGCCTCAAGCAGGAGGCTGTTGAGTAGCTGGTGGGGTCTGCAGGGATGCTGTGGGTGGTATAATTGTGATTGTGGTTGCTAAGTTACTCAACACTTTGTCTGTCTGGCAGAGAGGCCTGGTGTGAAACCTTTCCTCCAAGGGAATTGGAAAGGGCAGTCTAGCATTTCTGCAAAGAAGTCTGTGGCTGGCACCGAAGCAGTGAAAACAGCAGATTACAATGCCCTGCGAATTTCTTCGTTGTTTTCTTTCTCTCTCTTTTTTTCTTTCCCCTTCCTTTCTTCCTTCATTCTCTTTCCTTTTTCCTTCTTTCTTCCTTCTTCCCTCCCTTACTTTCTTTTCTAATTCGATTTCTATTTCTTCCTCTCTGCTTTCTTCTTATTTCCTTTTTCTCCCTTCCTCCTTTTCTTTCTCCTTTCTTTTCTATTTCTATTATTTCTATTGCTATTCTCATTTCCTTTTCTTTTGCTTCTTTCCTTCCTTCCCCCTCCTTCCTTTTTTCCTCCCTCTCCTCTTTCTCCTTCCTTTCTTTATTTTCTGTTTCAATTTAATGTTTCCTTTTGTTATTTTTCTCTCCCTATCCTTGCCCCTCCCTCTTTCTTTCTCCTTCTCTCTTTCCTTTTCTCTCTTCTCTGTTTTCTCTTTCCTTTCCTTTTCTTTTCTTCCTGAAGAATCCCTCATGAAAAGACACCCCCACCGGCTCCAAATTTCGGTGAAATTTCATTCTTTCTTCACTTCCCAGCAAAAATGTTGGTTGCGTGGCTTCAAATCCTCTCCAAATCTATCCAGATCTGACTTCACTTTTTCATATTTTTCATAATCCAGGAGCAGGAAATAAACGTATTATCAAAGGGGTGGTTTCTGTATAATCTTAGATTACTAGAGTTGGCTTGCTTTCAGGCTGCAGGACATTCTCTGCAATGGTTGGCAAGTTAATCACCTGTCTTCTGAATTTGTTGTCTTAGTGGAGGGCCTTAGAGATGCCACCTTCTCCAACTTGGTGTCCTTCCGTTGCGTTGGAAAAGTCGCAATCCATACAGGTCTGGCATGGGAAGTCCGGACATTGTCATCCTACCATCACTGTAGATTCTCCTGCTGCAGGTCCAGCCCTTCCAACCTGGAGGATCCCCTTGAAATGTTGCCTTCCCACCACCCCAAAAACCACAAAGTCTGCCCTTAATTCCACAATGTCATTCCCCAGGCCCCAAAATTCCTTCCTGAGGAATCCTACAGAGAAGCCAAGTCAAGAGAGGTGGCCCTCAAGGAAGCCCCCTTAGATGCCTTCAACCTT